TGCTCAGCGTCTCTTCCCCGCAGAGCCCGCAGATCCGTGAAGGGGCGCGCTCGCGGCCGACTCGTTCTCCCGGGTTGCGCGTCCTCGCGGAAGCTGTAGAGCTAGGAGGACCTTTGAATGGAGGTACTGCCAGTGGAAGTAGATCTGAGGTCCCCGCGGGTGCCGGTCCAGTAGGCGCAACCGACCACCATTTGCTATAGAAATGTGCAAATAGAGGCCACGAGGGCGTGTGTGGATTGGGGTGCGCAGCTCCAGGGTCTCCCCTGCCAGGAGCGCTCTCAGGATTACAGTAGCCCTTCTCCACCCGACAGCAGCCAGGGGACCCGGGAGACCCAGAGCGGGGCTGGAAGGGCGCCCTTAGAGTTCCAGCAGCTGGGCCGGTATGGCCGCCGCGCCACTTCCAAAGACCTCGAAAGTCCAAATTCCTTGAGGCTGGTGTCCCCGAGAGGGCCAGGGCATCTTGGCCGGTGGCGCTCACTCTCAGCCAGGCCAGATCAGGCCCAGAGCCAGCCCTGGCACCGCCACGCGCAACAGGTCGAGGGAGGGCGGGTAGTCCCTAGTTTCCCAGACTGGTTTCGAAGAGCCAGGTTCTGTGCTCCTTCCCCATCTCCAGAGCTTGCGTCTCTTCTACATCTTTCCTGAGTCTCCCCGGAAACCAAAGGCACCCCGCCCCCCACTCCCTGGAGCTGGAAAGGAGTCTGGACCCAGGCTCCTTTCCCTGACGGAAGCCTGAGGACCACAGAGTCCCCGAGCCGAATCTGGCCGGCATACAAGCGCCAAGTCTCAAAGGAGTGACCTTGTGGCGGGGCGTCGAGGGCGGCCGCCCTCCCTGCAGTACTGAGCCCAGGTTGGGGAGGCGGCATTTCCCCCTGGCGCACAAATTACCCAGAACGCAGCCCGGAGAGTCTCTACATTTCTGTGAACGAACCCTGCTGTCCACGCGCTATCCGTGCACGTGCAAAATGAAACTGGAGCTTTGAGAACAATAGTAGGATAATTTGATTTCAAAACGGAGGGGATGACTTGCCGCTGCCTCCTCTGCCCCCAGTTTCGGAGGCACTGCAGGTGAAATGGACAGTGGCTGCCTGCGCAAGCCTGGGGGGACCATGCCCCTTTGGCTTGAAGGTTCTCCCTCCCGCCGGTTTGAGTGCCTGGATCTACAGTCCAATCGCGGGGCAGTGGCGTCAGCTTGGGCCGCGTGACACTCTTCAGAGCGCAGCCCCTGTAGTTGTGGGCCCCGGGCACAAGCGTTTCATGGCCCATGGATTTCACGGGCCTCTGAGAGATGACCTCATTTCTAGCCGGACACAGGCCTTAAGAGGTAATTATGATCTATGTAAAATAATATCCCTGACCTGGGGGAGGGGGTGGCATCTGCCACCCAGGCCTTTCTTTTGCCCCATCTGAAAGGTCAGGCTCCGACTGACTGTTGGGGACGCGCCTGGCTGCCTGCTGATCCCGGCATCACTCTCAGGATGCAGTCTGAAGTTTGAGCAAATGCCACGAAACCCTCAGGTCTGCAGAATGGCTTTCCCGCGGGAGGAAATCAAAACGCCAAGTCCCTGACCACGCGCTGCTGCGATGATACTGAATTGGCGAATGCTCGCATTAACCCAGCGGCCCACCGCAGCCCCGGCGTAGTGACCGTCATTAGGCCCCCCGCAGTTATTCATCAAAAGCTTTGGCGCCGCTGTTCTTCCCATTGGAAAATCAGTCGGGATGAGTTAGGATTTAGGAACTGAATGGGAATCTGGGCGCCACACTGAAATGTGGTGTGGGGCCAGCCGCAGGGGTTTTGTCCCTGTGGTGCCCCAGCCGCTGGAGGACTGGGCCGAGAACGCGTGAGCGGGTTCACAATAAAGAACATATGGTTTGTGGGAAGAAAAGAAAGACGAAGGAAAAAGAGGAAAGGGAAAAGAAGGGAGGGGAAAAAAGAGACATGGTAAAGAACATTTGCTGAAAGGCAGGCAGGGAGGGAGAGAATGAATTTCAGGACGACTTGTCGCCTACGTGTATATACGCAACGACAGAAGACAGGATGCCAGAGCCCAATTCCCCAGGGGGAAAATAGGCTCGTAAAAAATTAGAGTAAGTCCTCTCTCATCTTCAAAAAATGTTCTGCCCAACTTGGTCAGACTCCTCCGGCGGATGTGAAGTTCAGAAGAGAAACTCAGTAACTGCTCCGCCGATACATGTCTGCGATGTGAGTGTGCGGGGTGAGTGAGGGGGAATTGAGGGGTCAGGGAGGAGGAAGAGCTGGCCGCTCCCGGGGGTAGCCTGGGCCTTGGAGAAGAGAGGACGTGGGCAGGCCAGGCTGGAGATCAGAGCAGGGGCGGAGCAGAGTTGGGGAGCGGGGATCGAAGGTCTGTTGGATTTCCTTGACGTCTGGAGCAAATAAGAAGGCAAATGACCACTCCAGGAACTTTCTGCGTGGGAGTGTTCGAGGCCGCTGTCTGGACACAAAAGAGTCCCAACGAGGAGTTCGGATCCCGAGGCCCCGGGGGTAGGGGCAAGGGAGGAGAGGCGTGGACAGGGGTGGGGGGAAGCTAACAGGCGTTTTGCTTGGCTCAGGCTGGGTCTCACTCTGACTCCGCGCTCCCGCAGCGCCTGAGCCCGCGCGGGGAGCCGCCACCGCTGCTGGGCCTGAATCCCTTCAACCCCCGCGGGAAATTTCTCTCCGGGGTGGATGTCACATGAAGGGGTGAGGGGCTGGTGACAGAAGGAGCATGGAGAGAAATCTGAGAGAAGAATGTTCAAACCCAGGGTCGCTAGCTGAATCGGGACGCGCGCTCAGCGGAGTCCTTAGAGCCTTAGGCGGCAGAGCTGTGAGTGAGGCCGGGAACCGAGATTCCCAGGTTTTAGAAGCGCACGGCAGCGGGGAGACAGCGCCCAGCGGAGAGACTGCAACAGGTGGGGAGAGGTGGAGGAGGCCGGGTCTGCAAGGGCCAAGCCCGGAGCGAGTGTGGA